GCAGCTCAGTGAAAGTTTAGCAACGTTGGTGAGTGGTAAGCCTATTTGAAACGAATTCAGAGTATTGATTAGAGATTATTTTAAATCTGGGAAGACACTTGCATGGAAAAGAAAAGAAAAGGCAGAGTAGAGGCTGGAAATTCAAAATCAATGCAAAGACAAATCAATCGCAACTGAGATTCTTAGAATATGCTAGAGTACGCATTTATCTGTGCATACATACACACATACATACTGCTGACTGCGCAGTTAGCAAAGACTGCGCTTGGGCTAAGTGCATAATATAATGATTTACTAATAAATCGTATGTTTTGTCAGTGTCTTCATATTAATATTATAATATAATTGTGATCCCCCCTTCACCCCCTCTAGTTTCTGTTGTTTTGTGGCATTTGTTGATCCATTAAGATTATGCAACTTTAAAATTTAGCTGCCAGAATCTGCCCGGCTTCGTGGCAAAATTCGCAGAACATAGCCTCAACCGTTGACTTTTTTAAGGTAATGTGAATGCTTTGTTGTTTTGATTATGCTGTTGAGTTATAAGTGTTTGTAGATATGTGCCCAACTGTCCATTTTGTATTATTTTTACGATGTTTTACTGCAAGCAATATCATCGGGCTATAAAATTAATGCTGAAGAATTCAAGATTTTCGCGCTAGGTACAGCTAATGAACTAATAACTGCCTATCCTTAATATTATTTGCCTGCTGCGATACATAAAGTCTTAATTCATGGTGCTGCTGTTATTGAGTATACCCTGATTTCCCATTGAAAATGGGTTCAGGGTATAAAAATCAAAATTGTATAAATTGTATATGTAATTTGAAGATCCTTGCTGCAATGATGCAATGACGATAGCAATAGCTATCGATGATTTTCCAGGTTTAATGGGATCATGCCCTGATTTTTGTTGCGCACTAGACTTGAAAATTGCACTATATACTCTGGCTCACAGCGTTTGGGCTGTGAATGAGTATTCTGCAATCGGTATCGCCCGACTGCAACGTGCTTACTTTTTTCTTATCTCTTAATTCAACCGATTAAATAAATTACTCATATTGTTGTTGTTTTTGGAAATAAAGCGAAACTTTTTTTGTTCATCGTGAAGGGAATATAATTCTCTTTAAGGTGAAATGCATTGGTATGTGTTATATTTACTAGTATTGATAATACAGTGTGTTAAGCATTGCGCACTCCAAAAAAAAACATGCGGTTCGAATTGTTAGTGGCTTGGGCTCGTAGTTGTAATAACGAAAGCATATAAAATTTTGTTCAATTATGGGAAATTTTGTTTAAAACAGCAGTTTATTAAAACATACGATTATTTAGCGGGAATGCGACGATTTGTTTCTGTTTTTGATTCTAAATTCAAGTATTTCAGATTCTTTATGGCATAGTGCTTTTGCAGCCTCGTCACTCTGGTAGCGATTTATATTGGTATCATCTGAGCAAATAACCTTCTTGCAATCGTATTTAGTTCAATTTCTATGGTCCTTGCGGAATTTGAGCCGAGCGGAAATCTGCAAAAGCATTAGGTCAAAATGACCAAGAAGCATAGTGGAGTGTGCCTGATGTGGGGCTGCTTCACATGGTGGAGCATCGACCTGCTGGTTGAGATAGATGGAATTACATTGAAGGAAGACTATCTGAATATTTTTAAGACCCACCTACCCGATTTTGTGGATAATAGTGCGTCTCCCGAGGAAGAAGTCGTGTTTCAGCAGGACATAAATATTTTGAAAAAGTTTAAGATGAGCATAACTGCATACATAACTCTTTTTTTTTTTTGCATCCATCTGAAAAACTTAAATTTAGAATGAAAATGTGAAACAAATGATTTTACTTCCTTATTTATGTGTGCCCATACATATGTGTGTATGTATGTATTTATATATGCATGCAAGCAAATATAATACACAATGGTACCTGTTAGCTCATTAGAATTTCTTGTCTGGCTTTTAGTCCATAATGCCCATCGACGCACTTCCCTTCCACTCTTACTTTTTCAGATATTATGAAACTGGTAGCTTTAAGGCTGGCGTCATAGGCGGCTCGAAGCCAAAGGTCGCGACGCCGCCAGTCGTTGACGCGATCGCCAACTACAAGCGGGAGAACCCGACGATGTTCGCCTGGGAGATACGAGATCGGCTGCTGGCAGAAGGCATTTGCTCACAAGATAATGTGCCCAGCGTATCGTCCATAAATCGGTAAGATAATATTGAGACTCAATATTGAAGCTTTATGTTTGTAGTTCTTAAGCTTAGAAACTTCTGCGAGCGCAATGACTGCTTGTATCACAATTGGAAGGGCGTAGATACAATAGCTAAAAGGATATCCTTGACCCTGAGTGTATGTTTAGGATTTCTTTGATTTCGAATCGTGTGCATATCGTGTATCGTATAACCCAGCAAAATTGTTAGTTTCCCAGCTATGGTCTGGCTGAGTGTCGCAATGCTTGCTTGCTGTCATGCAACTTAGTTCCGAGTCCGAATCCGAATCCGAATCCGTTTCCTCATCCGCATCCGCATCCGCATCCGTGTGCCAAATCCATGATGATGGGTGCGGCGATGGGTGCCCCAACACACACTGTGGAGAGACGGCTAATAAAAATATCTAAGTAGTTTTCAGCGTTCATAATTGCGGCACAATGCTTGACACACGACCACCACAAAAGCTAGCTTCCTTCTCGGATTCCGGTGCGGCACTCCTTGCCATCGCGTACTCATCAACAACAGAGCCGCAGCACAGCATTGCCGGCATCCTAGCGGATTGTAATGTACGCACTTCCTCTTTGACCATAATTCATTTTATTTGGCTAAGGATGCCAGAAGGCAGCTGCTCAAGGCTTGGATCGCCGTCGCCGTCGCCGTCGCCGCCGCCGTTGGCTCTACGAAAAGCCATAAATTAGCTGTGCACAACTCACCATAACTGTAATTCCGAGCGACGGCCGACGTGCGACGGATGCCGGACGGTAGATCGCGACGGCGTTTGTTGTCAAGTGGAAGAGTGAGAGGTGACTAAGGTCAACGCGCACTTGTTCAGCACACCCACACCCACACACACACACACACACACCCTATACCACACCACAAACTTACACACTTCATCCCACGCAGCCTTCTACCCGCCACAAAGTCATCTAAAACACATTGCTGAATATTTGCTGGGGCGCTGCAACCACACGCGGCACGTGCAGCCATTCAGAATCAATTCGCTACGACTAGGACGAGGAGTATGCAAAGCGCCAGGATGCGATGAGTGGTCGGGATGAATCGCAGAGCTTACCCTGTGGCCGAGGGTAATTCCAGGGGATAATCAACATTAACTTGCAATAATGCGACAATGTGTGATTCCATGTCACCCGAGCGATGATTGAGACGCAGATTCAATCTTACACAGACTCATGCACACAGCAGAGTACGTGTGTGCGACAGACCCTCTCTCTCTCCCAGCAAGTATCAGGCGTAATTCCAGTCCAGTTTCTGTTTTTTTGTTTGCTCTTTTTTTCGTTTTTTTGTTTCTTGCTGCTGCTACCCATTCACAGTGCGTCCCTAGAGAATAGCACTTATAAAGTGACTTTCGCAGCACTCATTGTAAGCCAATCGCCTGGCCCCCTCCCCGGCGTCCAACAAAGCCAAGTAAACAAATCGAACAATGTGTAGGCAATGCACAATACCGCGCAGCCCAAACATATGTCCCAATTGTGTGCACTGTCCGACTAGTAATTCCAGCCTCAGTATCCATCTCTATCTCTCTCTCTCTCTCTCTCTCTCTCTTAACCCGGTGAGATTGTCCTTTTCGAAATATATAATTTGATTTGATTCCGCCTGAGTTACCCTCTCAATCTGCAACCCTCTGAACGCGAGGGGAGACGGGCGAGCGATTTCTGCGTTAATCAAACACTCATGCAGTTTTATGCCCATGAAAATATTGTATAAGTAAGTACAATACAAGACCTGAAGGGAGAACGCTCCTCTTCAGTTCCCTGGAATAGACCGCTGACTAGACTTGCCCCGCAATTACATCTTTTCTAGAGCTCTGAGGTGGCTAAATTCGCCTTTTATGTATTCTCACCTAATCGGAGTCGCGACCATAAACGTAAAGCTTGAGCTCATTCAAAAAAAATGTTCCGCACTAAGCAGTCCCCAGGTGCCCACATCATCAGAAGATGCCGCATTATGACACACCTGGACACCTCAATTGGGTGGCGGAGTGGATGGGAAAGTAGAACTGAAGTGGATGCGCGTCCTCGAATGGATATGATTATTTTTCTCAAAGAAGGCCTCAATTTCAGCTTTACCTCTTTATCGACGCTAGACTTTTTTCCGGCGATCTTTCCCTTTAAGTCTAGATGTGGAAGCCATTCGAAGCCCGATTCGTGCAATTTTTCATTTCCATTTGCCAGAACTGATTGTCAGAGCTTTCAAGATCAGAGATAGAGCTATCGATCGACTTCTGTTGGCGGTATCCAAGCTAAAGCTCCTATGGACTGAATGCGAGCTTTTCAGTCAACTTAGCATGAGCAGATATTTCATTATAGGTGCCTCTATCTTTTGCAGAATTGTTCGCAATAAAGCCGCTGAGAAAGCGAAACACGTGCATCATCACCACCAGCAGCAGCAGCAGCAGCAGCAAATGCAACCAAACCTCAGCAATGGACATATCGCAAGTGAAAGCCTCGACAGCAGCAACGGCGCAATTAGCGAGCAGCAAGCTGTCATCTCTAACAGCAACAACAACAACAACAACTCGAGCAGCAATAACACCAATAACAGCACAGCGTCGGTCGTATCGGGCGCAGGTGCAGTGGGCGGTCTGGGCGCGACGGCAGAACCAGTGTCTGGCCCCAGCAGCGGCGCTGGCGGCGGAGGCGGTAGCGCAGGCGGCAGCAGCAGCAACAACATCACAACGGCTGCGGAAGTAGCAGCGACTGCCACGGAGCATCGATCGTCTGGCTCAGGATACAGCATAAATGGCATTTTGGGTCTGCAGCATGGCCATCACATACACAGCAACAATAACAGCAGCAACAACAATACGCCAGCTGCCGATTGTAAACGCAAGCGAAATGATATCCACGGTAAGGCACATTCAGTCTATCTTATGTCTCTCTCTTTCTCTCTCCCTCGCTCTTGCACACACACAAACATCTCCATTGAATCGAAAATGAATTCATATTAAATATACTGCAAATCCAAAACTAATGACTAAGACTGACCCCATCAAATGTTGTAATTAATCGATAGTCGGCTAGGACTCTCGCGAAATAGGTTATCATCGCACTAGCTCGCTCTAAAAGCCACAGCTATGGGGCTAACCCTATGTAGACTCTACAGTAGCTGGAGAGAGGCAAGTGAATGACTCGGCTCAGACTCGCTTCAATTTGAACTTAATAAACTTAGCGGTAGGTGCAAAAACAGACAGCACGGGAATAGGAGCATTCATTTGCATAACGTTTACTGGGGTGTTGTTCTAGGGAGTCTCTGCTACACTTTGTGGCCGTATTATGAGGGCCATCTGCGAGCCGCAGCCGCAGAGCATATGTGTGTATGGGTTGAAATCAAACCCCAGCAGTAGGCCAAAGTGAGATATCATCTTAATTGGGTGATGGTTAGTGGTACAGCAGCAGAAGGCATAAGGTACAGGCAGATACCGATATAGATAAAGATACAGATACAGATACCGAAACAAGGATACGAACAATTCGTATACAGTATCTGGGCGTATTTCAGAATCGTAAGGGGGTTGGCAGCGAGCGACAGAGAATCACAGGGAGAAAGAGAGAGAGAGAGAGAGAGCGACATCATTAAGTAATAATGTCAGATGGGATTCTTAAATGCAATTCCACTGGCACTTGTCGCTTTCAATAACAAACCCAGTAAAAATGAAGCATGCTCGACAACAAGATACCCTGATATTTCAAGCAAACCCAGAGAACGAAACTCATGCCCGACACAATGATGCTTTTTGCCAGTACCCAATGTACCCCACTCATTCTAACTATTTCTAAGGCCTTCCAATGGGTATCAAACGAGTCACAGCCCATGGAAATCGGAACTTAGGAAACAATGTGGTGGCTATGATGTTTTAATAACAACTTTACATATATATATATATATATA